GCGGTCGCGCTACGAGGCCTTTGCCTTCGAGACCCTTCGCGCCACCCCGTTGTCCGGCTTCTTCGAGCTCGGACATTTGGCGAAATACGCGTGTTCGATGCTCGCGTCGCGGCGTTGCGTAACGGCGAAAATCTCGGTGAAATTCGTGCCGGCCGAGGTGGTCGCGTGCTCCATCGTTTCTACGATTTCTCCGTCTCTCTTCTCGGCCTCCCCTCGACGTAAAAGTCGACGTCGATGGCTATCTCTCGGGGCAGCGACCTTTTTTTTGCTCGTTGTACGGCTCTTAATCGTGGAACGCGAGTCTAATTGTTCGAATAAAAGGATGGAACGAGGGCACGGTTTACGAAGTTCGTTTAGCCGGCTAGATTCACCGCTTCGGCTTTCTCCTCCGCGCGCAAGATCGTATACTCGGTGGCGACGAAACGTCGACCGCGATCTCTGCTCTCGGGGCACCGTTGTCGCGGCTCGAATCGATTTATCGAGGTTCCGTTCGGGCGAGGAGGAACGAGATTGGCAGTCGAGGAAGCGTAACACGGATTTCGCGTCGATCGTCGCCGTTTCCGGCGTTCCCTGGTTCGAGGCCAGCTCGTGCGAGCGCGCGGAGTCACGATGCAGATACGTTTAGGCGGGAGGGTATTACGGCGAGCGGCGGTACCTACACGTATCTTGATGGGAAACACTCCCACGATTACGTGGCATGCGATGCAATTCCCTTTGCCTTGGCGAGCGAGCCGGCGAGCAACCACCGCAACGACGAGCGTCGGCCACAGCTAGTTTTTCGTTTCCAAGTCGCTAACGATTAATGACCAACGACACTACGACGTTCGCGCTACGAATACGTTTCCGGGAACACGAATTATCGGACGATTTCGAGACGACGATGTCGCAACGCTGGAACCGCGTAGTCGATCAACGATCGCGCAACGCGTCGCGATGAAATTCTGACGTCGCGAAGACTATAATTCTTCTGGAACGATAGGAGAACGCGTAACGATCGGTTTTTGCGCGTCGACCGCAGTCGATTTCGCGCCTCGCGTCCGATCGCGAGAAGGAAGGCTTTTAAGAGTATCGAGGCGAACTCGCAAACGGGGACATCGCGGAGACGCGAGGAGAAAGTAAGCTAGTCGGTTGCTCGGTTCGCCATAGCGCGGCGCGACGCGAGCACGAGAGTACGTTCTCGTTCGACGGGGCAACCGGATTTCGAACTCGAGCTCCCCGGTTGGCCGATCGATAGACCGTGGATCTTGACTGAAAGTAAAGCGAAGAAGCGTAACGTAACGCTCGTCGAAGAGAAGAAGAAGGAGAACGGACGGCGGAGGCTGCTAACCCAAATCGTGTAACGGGATGCGGATCGTATAGCGATAACAGTAGCGATCGTTAATAGAGCCTATTCGCGCACGATTCGTGTCCCTGATCTGTCCGATACGTTATTGACGCGTTTATCGTCGACGTTATTATCGCCGCGCGTCGTTCGCGCTCACCTGTTAACCTCGGATAATTTATCGACTCGGCGAAACGGTCGCGCTCTCGAAACGTCGACCGGAGATGCCCGGAGAAACGAGAAACGGTGGAAACGATCGCTACGTTCTCCGAGTTACGGTCTAATCAGCGTCTATCACGATCCTCGGAGAGCTCTCGGTCAACGCGACCGCTTCCGTTATTCGCTCGCGTCGTTCGAGTAGCGCCGATCCGTCCATCGATCGCGCGTCGTTTCGTCTGGCATAATTGGACGCGTAGATACGTCCATCGAGAGAGAAACGGGAAGCTCTCGTCTCGCGAGAGAGGGCTCGTACGCTCGAAACTTCGTGGAACGAGACGAAAGAGAGAAATAAGTAAGGAGATTTCGCGTTATCGAGTTCCGTCGCGAGCGCAGCAGCCTCGAAAGATGAACGAAACGAGCAAACGACGAACGGTGCGGCGGCGGTTCGACGAAGGGAGGGCTCGGGTAGGGAGGCGCGCGTTATCTGCGAATCCGGGACCACGATCCACGCGGTCGACTCTCCGTATCCGTTGCATTGTTGCGCGGCGTTCGTTCGGGGTCGTGTCCCCCAACCCTTGACTTTGAGCGTTACCCATTTTCCTTTTATTATCTGCCCTCTTTTCAGCCGCGTTTCGACGTTCCGCTCGACGCGCTCTCTCTTCGCGCTCTTCCGTCTACGATCGAAGCGAGGGTGGCTGAAAAGGTGATACGCGTTCCGAGCGGTTTGCCCGACTTTCTCGCCGAATCTCTGCCGATGGCGAGCGAGTCGAGGCTGCTCGTAAAGACAACGGATCGCGACGAAGGGTCGCTCGGTCCTACGCTATTCGCGAGCTACCGCGTAACCCTTATCGGCGTATCGCAGGGCAAAGGGTTGCCCCGGTATTAGAGTAAGCCGCGGTATTAACCTCGGAGTTTAATATAAACGACGACGGCCGTGGCGGGTGTCGTTTTGGGGCGGTGGGCAGAGGGTGGCCACGTGACCGTCGGACAATGCGAACCGCTTATCGACGTCCTCGGCCGAAACGAACCCTCGGTTTCTCGGTTGCCCCCTCGACTCTCGACCCACGACCCTACGACCCTGCAACTCTCGCGCGACATCCAGCGAACCGCGTTCGTCGCTTTAACCTCGTCGCGCGCGTTACCGCTCCGTTGGTTGGCCAACGCCACCACCCGACCAGCTCGCTTTTCCGTCCGTATTTCCGTCCTCTCGCTGCCCCGAAAACCCGTTCGACCGCGATATCGGCCGGCGACTCCGTTCGCGAAACAAAGCGACCGTCCTTTTCACCGATTCCGCGCGACCCTATGCCGGAATTATTTGTCTTTCGCGAAGAGTACACCGCGCGATAATCCGTTTCGATCGATAGAAGACGCTACTTTTACGTATCTCGCTCGTCAACTTGAAATTCTCTCGCTTCCGCGATTCGACGATAAATCGTCAAATACAGATCGCGAACGGAGAGTTTCCGTATTTTCGTGAAATCTTTAGGATTTGAGACAGAGAAGGCGGGACAGAGAGAGCAGATCTCGCGTCGGACCGCGTCGCCTAGTTTCCCCGAACGAGCGAGGAACAGACGGCATTTTATTTAGACGCAACCGTGTTTTATGGTCTCGTTTGACACGGGATGCCGTTAAATATGCGCCAGACCGTACGCGCTCCACCCCGTCACGGTCCATCCCTCGGTTTCTTCCCTCGTTTCCTATTCTCGCCGATGTCTCTGTTATCGTTTCGGCGTTCTCCTATTAACGGGAGCAGACGCTTTTAGGTTTGCGTAGGGTCCTACTCCGACGACATTTTTTCTTTCGTTTCTTCCTTCGTTCGAGCGTTTTCGTGCACGATCCAAGATCGAGAGAACGTTTCGTTTTTTCTTCTTACCAAGCTGGTTCGGAATTTATTCTCGTCGATGTCGATCGAGCGGATCGAAGAGATCGTCGGGATAACGGTCGCGAAATTCGATTCGGTGGCGAAAACTCACGACGAGCGAAGACGAGAACGGTGCTATGTTTCGGTGGGTGCACGCGTGCCATTCCTAGTCCCACATGCCGGCCGTAACCGTCGGAACGTACCGCCCGCTCCCGCCAACGCGAGACAATATCGCGCATTCACAGATTGCGCTGTCAGGCACTCGAATAATATTCGGGGTGACACGCCATGTATCCGCTATGCGGCACAGAGACCGTCCTGTATGACTCAGCATCCCCTAACCGCGACCGCTGTCGCACCATCGCTTCGTTCAAGGGGTGCCGAAGGAACCGCGGCAAGAAAAAGGGAGCAATAAAGAGGAAAAGCGATATACTCCGTGACGGCGAGAGGGAAGGACGGATCAAGAGCGACGGAGAAAAACGAAGGAAAAAAACGTGGAAATCGGAGAGAACGCGGGAGCGAGGGGGCGAGGGAGACGAAAAGAGAAGAGAGGAGAAGGGAGAGAGTGCGTCGGGGTTCTTTTTCGGTTCGAACCGGGAACGAACGAGATCTCGTACCACGTGTCCGTGACCGATCCAATTTTTTTCCTCCACGCTTCGA